CATTTTCACGACACCCACGGCATCCACTGCACTCACAAGGCACTCCACGGCACGATTTTTGCTGCATTTCCGCCGCTTTTCACAATTTTCCACCGGTTCCACTGCACCCGCCACGTGGTACGCACTTCACCCGCGCACGAAACACACTTTCCACGGCACCCACTGCACGCACGGCACTCACAGACACTCCACGGCACTCCCACAACACTTTCACGGCACTGCACGGCACAATTTCACCGAATTTTCCACGTTTTTCACGATTTTTGCACCACCGCCGGCACGTGCGTCGTAGCGTCGGTCCGCCATCTTGGAAAAGGCCGATTCACGCTACCGCATCCCGGATTTCGGTTGGCACCACCTGCCTGCTGCGCACTTCCGGTTCGGGGATTAGGTTGGCAGTCCTTCACTAACACATTAAGTTGGCACTTCTGCAGGTTCTGACGCACGCCCATCTTGGTCACCGTTGTTCGATGGCTGATTATTCTTCGCAGTACTATATTCCTTTCTATTTTTTACCTCGCTTTTCTACAGCGACAGCCATCTCGGTTCGGGTTGCTGCGTCGCTCATAACTGTTGCGAATATGCCACTGCTTCCGTCGAACGATTTTTTCGGTTGGCAGTAATGAATTGTTCCCGACGACTGTTTTTTCAGGTTGGCAGTCCATCAGTACCACCGTATCCGTCATGTTGCCACTCCTGCGTTTACTGGCGAACGACCATCTACATCCCATTTGCTCCGTGACTCTGCCGCGTTGGCAGCATTGCATCAGGGCTAATTTACGTTCGGGTTGGCAGTGCTGAAGTATCGTTCACATCTGGTCCACTTATCATGGACTACCACTGCTTCGCTGAAACGACTTTTAGGTTGGCAGTTCTGAATTGCTGCCGTCGACATTTTTCAGGTTGGCAGTCCTACACTCGCACGCCCGTTAAGTTGGCACTTCTTCGGTTACCGACGTGCGACCATCTCTGTTCCCGTTGCTCAATGACTGCTCATTTTGCGCACTATTCTATTCCTTTCAATTTTTGGTTTTGCATTGACATAACGGCGGCCGTCTCACTTTGGGTTGCCGTTTTCTAATAACACTTGACCGATTCCACTGCTTCGGACGAAATACTTTTAGGTTGCCAGTACTGAACTGTTGCGACGATCGCATTTTCAAGTTGGCAGTCCTGCACTACCATCTCATCTGTCATTTTGGCAATGCTGCGAAAACCGAGGCGCCACCGTCTACGTTACATTTGTTCTATGACTGTACACGGTTGGCAGTCTTGCATCGTTGCTAATAGACTTTTGGGTTGGCACAGCTGAAGTACCGTTCACATATAGTTGTCTTATAATGTTGGCTATCCTTCACTGCCATCAATTTGACAATTTTCATGACCATCTCGCTTCCCGCTGCTCAATGACTGACTCGTTCGCCTTGCAATGGTGCCCTATGTCGCACCACACTTATGTTGCCAATCCTTCGCGCGCTCGATTTACGTCGGGTTGGTACTATTGCTTTGTCGCATAATGCCACGCAACCGTCTAGGTTGCCGGTATTCTGTGACTCAATGCGGTTGGCAATACTAAGTGGCATTTACTTCCGGTACGGCTATTACGTTGGCAGTCCTTCACTGTCACGATATGTTTAGAGTTGGCATTACTGCAGTGATGCTTGTTGATCATCTTGGTTCCAGGTGTTCTCGGTCTCACTGAGGTTGGCTATTCTGAATCGCAGCAGTCAATCCTTCATGTTGACAGTATTCAATACCATTACACTTTCAGGTTGGCGCTTCTGAGATGTCGCTTACTGCACTCAACCATCTATGTCGAGGTTGTTCTATGACTAATTGTTGTTATGTTGGCAGTGTTATGTCCCTTTACTTTTTCAAATTGGTGGTTCTGCGGACGCGTCGTTTCCGGTTCTCTTATCATGTTGGCTCTACTGCGCCGATGATTCACGACCATCTTGATTTTGGCTGCTCTATGCCTATTTACTGTTGGCACTTTTGCATTCCTTCACATTCTCAAGTTGGCTCTCTTACACCGCGACCCATCTACCTTTAATGTAATCTATGCCTCATTACGGTTGGCTATTCTGTATCAACATTTTCATGTTGTCACTCCTCCATTGACCCTACTATTGCACCATCTACCTCCCATATGTACCAACAGTGTTGCAACTCTAATTAATGCAATTTAATTATAGACTGGAGAATGCAGCAAATTATTTATGTTCCTTGTTTGTAAACAATACGCGTAATTTGATTTTCGATGTTCCTGGGAGACCGAGCTGCGGAAATATTGTGTATGTTTGCCAACTATTTCTCTGGTTGGTCCTATAGTATCGTTGTTGTTGTTTTTTGTTTGGGTCTCGATTGCTTTGACCATTGGTCAAAATACTATCGTGTGACATTGTTTACAAATCTAATCTTCCTAAATGCGTAAGAGTGATCTTTTATAAAAGTTGATTTTCGTCTCGCACAGCCAGTTTGAAAAGTAATTCGTATACTGCTTGACATATTAATTAATTTAGAGAATAACATTCATTACATCGGCTATTATCGTATACTTCTGCTTATATACGAATAATACAAATAAGGGTTTTACATTTTTCGATAATCTGGAATGTGTGCATTTCGTATTTTCGATCTTGTTTAACATCGACAATCGGTTCGTAGTATTACTGGCAATATTGTTGTAGAGACAAAGGTACGAAACACGCGAGAATGGCACGTAATGGAAACGGACGATATTATCAAAGACTTGTTCTTTCCTTCAGGTACGTAATTTATTTGTTTACGCCTGCATCGGTAGATTATCGTTTATAACGATAATAAAGATGAATTAAGTACTACGTATCTGACTTTTCATTGATACTGTCGACTCTTTATTATGTCGGTTCGTCGTCGTACGTTGCGATTAATTAACTTTTTCTATTATTGTTCTTCGATCTTCTTGCGCATGTATTTATATGTATTATACCTGCGCCAAATAAAGCGTCGATAACGTACACGTCTATGTAAAATACGCGTGCAACAACGTAAGTGTTACGTTGAAATTTAATAATAATTCTTTGCTACAAGTTAAGCATTTACTTGTAACGAAATCATGGTTAAATTTAGCGATTAGTACGTTTTATGCGATGGTAGACATCAGCTGATTTTGACAGTTGTATCGCACGCGATTATAGTCCCATTCTCGTTTCCGAATATTTATTTACGAATAATAGAAAAAAAACCATTTAACAACCACTTCATTCTTTTTTGCAAGCATCGCGCGTTAAAAAGAGCTATCTATTCCGAGGTAATTCTGCAGCGATGATTCGTTTGTAGGTTACGTCTATATACATAATTAAATACATAATTATCAAGATACGGAAGAATAAATAATTGTTACGTTATAAAATATTAAAAACATTTTTCATAATTGCAGACCATTAGCGGATAGTGCTGTGGATAAAAATTGCAGTGGAAAAGTTAACGACAACGCGTTATTTAATCGTACGAATATTTTGTGGAAGAGTAAAATGTCCATGCAAAGTCACTCGAAAATTTTGTCTCAACTCAGAGATTATTTGAACAAATATGGTTACAGTAAGAGTTTGCGAGTAATTTTGTTCAAGAATTGGTTCGATTTCTTCGAGAAAAAGAAAGTGACCTATTCTCAGATCAATGCCATAAAAAAGTTGTCCCAGAGCGACTATCTAAAAGGTACGAGCGAGGTGCAAGCATCGAGCATCGATAAGACTGAAAATAACAAAATACAAGGAGAAAAAGTTTTAACCGAGGCTGTAGAAAAAGGAGCAACCGCTGATACTTCTGTTAAACGAGAGAAGGTACGCGTAGTGTTTTCGTTCTTATGTACGTAGAATACATTTTTATGATCGTACTTCGCCATAGGACACGGATAGATTGGTAAATACCGATAAGGAAATACGGACCAAAGCGAAATCTCATAGTTTCACGGATGCTCTGGACATGCTAATATTTAAATTAACCGATAAAAGTAAAGCGAGTAAATTGGTTGTACCTAAATGGAAACTAAATATTCATAAAAACGTACCGATGCACAGTATTACCTCCAGAACGCGTCATGTTCTGAACAGTATTTTGACCGCGGAGTCGAATGCTTCGCGTTGTAGGAGGATCGACGATTTATTGGAACATATCGATCAGTATCAAGAAGCGAGACATTATGCCATTAAGGAAGGCGCGATCAAAGTGCTGCTGAAAGTGGGACGTAGAAGTAAAGATGAACAATTAAAAGGTATAATAGAATTTTTTTATTCATATATTATTTCGTTAAATGATTATTTTTCATTATTATGCGACAATTCTGCAGCATCCATTAGAGAAGCATTGGCGGTATTAGGTTATAGCGATCCACTACCTGGTAAAGGTATTAGAATTCTTTCGATCGACGGTGGAGGTATGCGTGGCGTATTGGTTATAGAAATGTTGAAGAAACTCGAAGAATTGACTGGAAAGAGAACGCACGAAATGTTCGATTATATATGCGGTGTGAGTACAGGAGCAATTTTGGCGATTACTTTAGGTACATGTATATGTATTTCTAAATAATTGGTTATTTCTTTTAACGATTTGCGTATAATTATTATACGAATTTAACGTTGTTAAGGTGGACACAAACGGAAATCTCTCAACGAAATATCCGAGTTGTACAAAGAATTAAGTGCCAAAGTATTTACTCAAAGTGCTATAAAGGGCACGAGCAATTTGGTATGGAGTCATGGATATTACGATACGGCGCTATGGGAAAAGTTGTTACAAGAACATTTAGGAAATAGAACCCTTATAAAAACAGCTCGTGATCCCGGTACACCGAAGGTACTACTTCCTTACAAATATCGCGTGTAAAAAAAAAAAATGAAAATTGATAACCTGATACATGGAAGTGTTATTTAGTTTTCAGCTATATCGGCTATAGTCAATCATGCGCGCGTAACGGCTTACGTCTTCAGAAATTACACGTTGCCCTATAGAGTTGAGAGTCAATACATAGGATCTCATAAACATAAATTGTGGGAAGCGGTGAGAGCGTCCGCGGCAGCGCCTAGTTATTTCGAAGAGTTTAAGAACGGTGAATACCTTCATCAAGATGGAGGTAAACATCGATATATATTTCGCGAAGAAAAGAAAAGAGAAAACCGTTGAATATTGAAATATTTCAATAACGCAGGTATACTCGTGAACAATCCGTGCGCGGTTGCGTTGCACGAAGCGAAACAATTATGGCCAAATCAACCGATTCAGTGCGTTGTTTCCTTCGGTACTGGACGAACACCGAACCGAATTTGTGATAACAATAACGATTCTATGGATGTTATGATTTCAAGCTGGAAAGATAAATTTTATAAAATATTAGATAGTGCTACTGATACGGAAGGTAACGTTCTATTGAGTAATATTTACAAAATATTTTGTCTGCTATTAATCGAATGTTTTAATATCGACAATTATTTTATGGTATAGCTGTACACACGATGCTTAACGATCTTTTACCTGAACACGTGTATTTTCGATTTAATCCCTACTTGACTGAAATGTTGTCGATGGTAGAGATACGTCCTGAGAAAATTAGTCAGCTGGAACAAGATGCGAAGATGTATATAAGGAGAAATGAAGAAAAATTTCAGAAAGCTGCTAAAGTATTGTTGGAAAGGAAACAAATTCCGCGCAAGGTTCTGGATTGGATTAGGTTACAAAAACGAATTTATGGTTTATGAAATATCGTTTTTCTTAGATAATTGTGCATTCCGTACCTTCGCGTAATACGTGTTCTTCGATAATTGTGTAAATATTAAATGTAGTCGCGAGAAGACACGTTCTACGTTTTAACTAATGAAATTAGTTAGTTCAATCTAAGATATTGTTATCCTTTTTTTTTTAGAAGGAAAGCAATATTTTAAAATAGGACAAAATTAATTAATTACACGTGTATGTGTAGTGCAAATTTTGTGTACTCTAGTCCCTTGAAGAGAAATGATGTGCTGTAGAGTAGAACGCAAAAAAAAAAATATTGTTCCGAAACTGTCGTTACACTAAAATTGGAACTAGATGTGTGTATAACCAATTGTTGTAGAGCAAAATTTCTTCTTAGGAATCGTCCTTTTTGTTACATGTTTCTTATGTACCTTATGTACATACCATCGAATGTGACTATACGATTTATACGTTGTTTATTACTTAAATATTTATTTTGCTAGTTATCGTCGACGTAACATTCGACTCTGACTTCTGCATTGAACAAATATTTGTACAAATAAGATGAATGTTAATAATTTAAATTAATTTATTATATATTTTATGAAAGTTTTCGTATAACTTATCTGTAATTTATTTGTAAATCGGAAGAATTTTCTGAATGTGGCAGTACAAAGCCGTTACCAAGCGAGCTTTAAATGGAATAAAGTAAAATAAATCACGATATAATTATCTGCGTTTCGAGTTATTTAACCATTCGACATTATTGTTAATCTTTTTGTATTCGAAACAAACACGTTCGAGTTACTTCGCTTTCAAAAGAATGCTTGCAGTGATGCCTTAACCGGATGGCGTTACCGTCAACATCCGTCTAGTCTCGTGTCTTATTTTCGTTCACTTCCGTTTTCTGTGCCTTGGAAAGTAGTCGGCGTAAGTAAAAATTTCTATTATAAAATATCGATATAATCTTTGGAATAATGTCTAATGAACACTGATATTGCAAGCCGATAATATTTATTCGAAATTACTTTTTTTTTCTAATTTCTAGATCACTTTCTTTGCGTTGTATCATTTTTTTCGCGTTACAGTTAACCTCAAAATATTATTATTTCTGTATATGTACTTTTATATACTTTTTATGTGATTCTAAAACCGATGGATTAAAATTATTATCCTTTCAGATTGTTTAATAGAGGAAAATGGCCAAGTCTAAAAATCACACTAATCATAATCAAAGTAAGTACGACAAGGAGCATGCGAAGAAATTTTTGTAAACAGATGTAGTAAATACAAGATGAATATTATATAAAGTTTCAAATGTTCTGGTTGGATATACTATATGCGAATGACTGAACACTTGTAATTTCATTTGGACATATTCTGTTTGATTTGCAGATCGTAAAGCTCATCGCAATGGTATCAAGAAACCTAAACGTTACAGACACGAATCCACGCTTGGTGTACGTTTCTAATTTCTTCCTTCGAACGCTAACAATTTCGTGATTGTAATTATGCTCTGGAAGCACAAAGATTAGAGCACGTGAAATATTTGAATGCTTTTTTTTTTCAGATGGATTTGAAATTTCTGAGGAACCAACGTTTTGCCAAGAAACATAACTTGAAGCCAAAGGAACAACGAAAACGAGCGGAAAAACGTAAGGCCTTGCGTGAATCGAAGAAAGAAGTTGTCCGTGTATAAATAAATTAATTTCAATAAAAATTTGAAGAAAAAAAGAAAAACAAATTTAATTACTGCATGCAATATTATTATTTTATTCGTTGATCTTATATTTCACCATTTAGTAATATCAAAAGAATTACCACACGAATTTTAACGTTGAAATAGTAAACAAGAAATCAAAAGATATGTAGGAATAACATAATTTCGTGCTAAAGTTACAAAATGTTTATTTAATAAGGAAAAAAGTGGTTACATGTTTATGTATGTGGACTGATTCATAATTTGGGGCAAGTAGGTAAGCGTCGACAAAACTCGCATTTTAAAGAGTGCCTATTCAACATGGCGAATTATGTTAGTGAAGATAATTCTACGATGAACGTTGAAAATACTTCGAAACCGCGAATTATTTTATTGTTCAGCGGAAAAAGAAAATGCGGCAAAGATTATATCACGAACGCTTTACAAGAAAGGTAATAAGCTATTTAATGATAATATAAAGAATAGAATTACAACGACGATTGTAATTGTGACGTTGACGATGATACTTTCATTTTGTATGATCAGCGACGTATTTTTTTTTTTTTTGTCAGAATCGGCTGCGATAATAGCGGCGTTATTAAATTATCGGGACCAATTAAATCTCACTGGGCGAAATCATTAGGACTTGATATTGATCTGCTTATGGGAGATGGAGGATACAAAGAAAATTATCGTCTTGAAATGGCAAAGTGGGGAGAAAGTATCAGAAAAAAAGATCATGGCTACTTTTGTCGCGCAGCTATAAACATGTATAATGGTAGAAAATTATTTCCTATATAAAATTAATATCTTATCTGCGTTCTACATCGATTTCTTTTAGCGCGTAACAAATCAGTATGGATAATAAGCGATGTACGAAGGAAAACTGATTTACAATGGTTTCGAGAGAATTTTAAAGATGCATGCAAAACAATTTGCATTACTTCGGATAAATCGATCAGAGAAAAACGAGGATGGATCTTTACTCCAGGTAATTCGACAAGACTAAGCTACAATTGTACCGTACACGCGTTATAAAATACATTTTATGTAGGAATCGACGATTCAGAAACTGAGTGCGATTTGGACGATGTAAATACATGGGACTTAATGGTAACGAATAACGACGATAACATAGAACCTATATTGCAAACGATATTACAATTCGTTCGTTAGTAAAATATAATATGAAAAATAAAAAGATGGGAAAAGGTAAAAGTTTGTATTTATTAAAAAACGACAATTGCATGATCGAATTTCTATGATTCTTTCGATTCGCGATAATCGAACGTGTCATGAAAACTGGCTTTAAGCATGACGTTTAAACTTGCCGCGAAGAACCGCGCAAATAGTGCAAGCGTACTGTGGCGGTAGTTGAAATAATTTATTGTTAAATATATTTTATTGTTGTCAATGACTGTCAACTTGAATATGATTTTAAACGAAACGCTGTGTTTCTTTTCGAAGACGTGATGGATTCGTTCGAGGACGATATGTTTGCGCTCAGTGACGAAGAGTTGCCGCTACCGACGTCTAATAATAATCCCATAGAGGAATATTTAATGAAACAACTTTCCAATGTGCAAACTCGTATTGAAAAAGCTAACGATGATATTAAAATAGTGCAGGATACGACGAAACATATTTTAAAATCTTTATATTATGAAGCTGAATACGGAGAGAGTATAACCTCGGATTCTGATAGCGATGTGAGTCATTATTTGATACTACGAAATATGCATATTAATATTAAGAATTTTACTTAGCAGGTAAAATTGGCATGTAAATTTATAAGACTAGGTCCCAACCATAAATTTAATACGTGCATATAAATTTTATAAGTGCGGCGTACACATGACGCGGTAGACTCTCGTTTTGTTATTGCTGTCATCGCGCTTTATTACATCGTGTTGCGTCGCTTGAAGGAATTTGCTGTTTACGTAATATCGAAGTAGAAAAATTGTCGTTGAAACTAATATACCGTCAACTTGACACCTTGAATAGCAAAGTTTTTTTTGCTACTTATCGTGCATGGTTGTTGTAACGGTATAAAAACGCGCGTATGCGTTGTCATCGTTCATGATTCGTGTGACCAGGAAGATGACTATGGCCTGTGGTCTCGAAGCGTTAAGTTAAAGAAAACAATGTTGTACCGACAAAGATTAGTTGGTTTTCAACGATAAAGAAATTGTATGGAATGAAATATATGTAATAACAATGTACTGGACACTTCTCTAGCGGAAGGAACCGTGCTAATGAAAATGTAGGCATTCGTGTTGTATACGTTTAACGTACGTTAAAATATATTTTGTTTGTAGTTGTACACCATAGATGGAGAACCGGTGATAAAGAAAAAGCAGAAAAGGGAGGAACCCGATCAAGTTTTGGTCGTGCAAAATGATTGGAAATGTGTTTTTTGCGATAAATGGATTATCGGTATAGTTGTACGGAATACTTCGATCAAGTAAGTACATTACTATAAAGAGGTTGCATTATAAATCTTCCTCCTTACCGCTTCCTCCGTTAGTTAGAATTAATTTTCTGCAGTTTTTTTTTTTTAAACGTTTTTATTTAAAAAAATAATTATTGTCATTTTTTGTGGGTAATTTATAAAATTACGAGGGACCAAAGTTATAATATTAAATAGCATTTTGTAAGTTAGCTCGACGTTACACGGAAACCGATGTTCTCCATCGTTATGGTCTTAAGTACTGCATACAGCGATCTATGCATTTGTATTAAATCTGTCTAGAAATGCTGTACAACCGGAATGCATGTTTTGAAGCGTACGTAAACGGTAGAAAATTTGAAATTCGTCACTTACTATATTCTTCTGTTTGGAAGGCCATGTAATTCAACGTATCGTAACGATACGATTGTAGCATCGATACATGTGTACTATATTTCCTCGAGGCAGTACTGTATTACCATTCGTACGATGGTAATAAAAACTGTTGCGATATAATTTCTATCAACGTATTTATATTTATATACAGATACGAATATATACATGTAAAATTGAGGGAAATGTAAAGGCATCTTCTAAAATATGAATAAATCAGAGAATTAATAATCAATAACAGAATGCATACGCGAAAGAAATCTACAGAGAAAGTATAGAAATCCATTGAGCATGCTCGCGAACAAGAATAAGAATAATAATAAGAAGAATAAGCATACGAGGAGTACACGAGACTCTTTGATAGAGGAATTGATCGAACGAAAAGAAATTAGACAAAGATAATTCGATATTTAAGGATTGAGCAGCGAGCATAATTCCTACCTACGTAAGTTAGGAAATTGATCGGCTTAAGTATCTCTCTAACTTAACTAACTTAGATATTGCTAATTTAAAATGGTTTATAACAATTTACAAATAGTTTATCGAAGTTTCGTTAGGCCCTAACGATCGATTAGACCGGTATTTCGTTTATAAAAAATTTCAATGCACCAGCGTGTTCGTATACACTGTCAACCTGAACGATTGAAAAGCGTACTTTGATCGATCGTGGCCCTATGTAACATTTTCGTTGTAATCGACGCGATGCAAAGAGCATATCTTGTAACGCGTTCGGACTAAATCGTGAAATTCGAGCGTCGTACACGCTCGCTATACGAGTGTAGATAATTGTATAAGGAGAGGAAGTTTTGGTACTATTTTTTGCATATCAATGCGGTATCTTCGTCCGTGCCAAGCGCGATGTAATCGTCGGGAGAATAACCGAAAAGCACAAAGTCGTACCTGAAATGAAATTAGTTGGTTGATTTTAAGAGGCAAAGCCTAATTCGGTATCGGTTATTTACCTGAACATCTCGTACAGATGTTTGATTTGTGATTTCGACAATTGAGTAAAGTAGTTCTTTATCACGTCCTTCGTTTGGACACCTCTGGTTGGATTCTTCCATTCGGGTTTAACGATGTGGCCTACGCGTGCTTGCTTTATGAGATAATCTTGATCTTCCTTCGGAAAGCGTATTAACATTCTTCTCGATAAAAGGTTGTATCGTTCGCTTAGAGTACATAGAAAGTTCGCTTATTCGAGAAAGATACTTACATGAAGCGTTTCGAACTTTGCGATCACGTCGAATCTCACTTGACACGGCGTACAAAAGTTGACAACCGGTGTCCAATGCATGTCCAGCTCGTTGCCAGCTTTCCATTGACACAACAGCCATCGTACAAACTCCTCGAACAGCGGATACCTTGGACCGCGTCGTCCGTTTGTTTTTGAATCCTGATCGTTTTAGAACGAGAAAATAATTGTACGTTAGATGTTACGATATCTGAACATATATACGCCGAAGAAAAGAAAGTAGTGGACAGAGGCGATAGAAAGAAAATGAAATACCCTGGATCTGTAATGCCACACGATATGAGCTCCGAGATTGCTGTGGAACGTATGCGGTAAGCTATGCTCCAATTTGTCTCTGTAGGCGCTGAGCAGTCGTTCGAACGGGTGTCTAACGATTAGGAAGCTGATACTGTCGTTTAAGAACCTGTTCAGTTCTTCCGCTGTATGTCGGGGGTATTTCTGCCTCGCCAAAGAAACTGGTACAGCTTTCGAGGCCTTCAGAAATTGCGGGCTATACCTGAAAATATTCATCTTAACGAATAACTGAGAGTAATTGTAGAGTAAGGGAAGAAGATTGTAAGATTCGATCGTTTACCCAGCGAGGAGATTGAAATTGTACATCCAGGACGTAGATGCCGCTTTGAACACGTTACACCATATCAAATGGTACTCTCTATTTACAAGGAACTCCCAAGCGTTAGGCCTATGAAGAGAGTCGTTTCCAGGTCGATCTAATCCCTCCTCGGCACATTTCTCCGCGAGGAACATCCTCCTAGCGTTCAATCGTTTCTCCGTTTCGACGTTAGTCGCTTCCTCCATTAATCTTTCCTCCGGTGTCAGGTTCGAGTCCTCCTGTATATATACATATATACATATATACATATATACAATCGGCATTCGCGCGTTACATCGTTTTTAGGAAGTTCTTTCGAACCTTGTAAATGTTCGACCGATTAAGCTTGGTTTCTTGGTCGGTACGTCGGTACCGGGAGGGACCTTCTTGGTACACGGCACACGCGCGAGCGCGCGGTTGCACGCAAGGTTAATTCAATTTCCTAATTTCTGCAATTAATCGGGTACGCTCGGTGAGCGCGTATAGTTGCATAGGATACGCCTACTTGGCGCATTGCAGTTTAAACGCGTGCTTTCTTAAACGGAATTGAATCGGTAGCGAAGATAGGTTCGAACCTTGACCAAGCACAGCGTTAAAGTTTAGGATTAACTCGCCGATAGAATAGAGTAGATATCGATTGAACGATGAACGATTCCCCCCTCGAAGGGGAGGTATTAAACGGAATTACAGGTTACGAGACGCGCTACTTTTTCCACTCGAGGCGAGATGAAACGAAAGATGAATCGTTTCCGTTTCAACGATTCGCCTGCAGTAACGTTTGCCTTTCGTCGATGCTCGCCTCCTTTTTTATTCCGTAGGTATTTGCCGATAAACCAAGGTCGAGTACAACTGCGACGATTACCAAGCAGAAGTATCGGTTTCCGTTTATCGATTTCGCCGCAGAAGTCTCGGACGTGGTCGTGGACTAAACTCGCCTGCCCACCATATAGATTCTATGCTCTAGAAGAAAATGCTATTCTAATTTCACGCGCGGATTATCGGTTTACCGAGTTAACGGAGTCGTTTAAACGACGAAGCATGGAAGAACGACGCGTTACAGTTTCAAATGTCGCCTGCTGGTTTTAAAGTTGCAAACGCTTCGCAAAGATCGAAGGGAATTTTTGCGAATTCTTGTTTGTTCGCGTCGCGTAGGTTTCGTAATGAAGCAACGAAAGAAACGTTGAACGGTTGGTAAGAGTCGGTTAATCGGGTGGTGATGAACATTTTGCCCTTTGGAAAGAAGCTCTCGCGGTGAACGGGCTCTCTCTCTCTCTCTCTTTCTCTCTCTCTGTAGCTTGACCTCGTACATCGCGCGTTCGATTCGATTCTATGCCGCGCTATGCACCGTTCGTTGATAATATAGAACACGTAAGATCGTATGCATCGCATCGAGATATCAGAAGACACGCAACGGTGCGTGCTTCTAATGTTCCAAGAGGCCCACCGGTTTCGAACGTGTTAGGGTACGGATTGATTCCGATGTGTACCACGATACGTACAGATTATGTAACGTATTTGCAGGCTTACGTAGGCGCTTGGTGTTATCCAGTTGTATAACTTCCTTCGGTTATAATGTTTTCCCACTGTTAACGTGGCTTCGAGTTATCCGGACGATCGTCGCGTCGCGAATCGACGCGTAATTGTCGAGATTTAAAGCGTAATCGTAAAGCACCGTTTGCGTATTTAAAGGGCCGTTATCGGCCGGTCATACATTTGTGTGCCGCATTGCGCCTGGAACTCTGCCAATCTATACTAGCATCGCTTTACGTAAGGAGACCATTTTCGATGTTATCTCTTCCCTTTAGGTGGAAAAAATTCTGAGAATTTTTCCAACTTTGATCCGACGAAAGTTCGAAATAAAACACGAACAAATAAAGAAAAATAAACGAGAATTCGTTTATTTTCTTCGCGAGATTTAAGATTTAAAACAAGGAAAAATTATTGGAAGAAGAATGATTCGGGATACTCGGAATTGAAGCGAGAAGCTTTCGAATAATCTCTATATAGTCGTAATCTACGAAGCACACGCATCGAGGCACACCGAATGCGATAGAACCGGAAAACCGGTGTTTTCCTATCTACATGTCCGTGAATGTCCTCTAGAGATAGCCCTGACTCTGTCGAGACTCTTCCGCGTTATCGAAATTTCAAGCGGAAACTTTCAAACTATCTCCAATTAACGATCCATACAACCTGCGAAACGTACAGTAGAATATCGAGAGTGAAAATAGCCTCGTATCCGGCTTTTCGATAATTTCCATATCTCGGTAATTGATATCGATAATTAATTCGTACCTAGTTGTTTCTCCGAGATTAGGACGGTTAGGTTGGCAAGATCGAACTCACCTCCAACAATTGTTGCGTGTTGTTGCTGGTATCCTGGTTCGACAAAGCCAACACCAGCAACGTCAGGATACCAGCGGCCAACAGTGTTCGTCGTATCGCCGCGAACACGTGCCGTCGCGGGGTCATCTTCTCCCGATACACGATTTTCTTCCTGTACTCATAGCGAACTGAAACATCAATTTTTTTTAGTTAACTCCTCGTTCCTGTGGAGGATTAATTAATAATGGAGGTTTCGTAAGAATGTGTACTGTACGTCGCGTAATAAACGGCAAAGTAGTCACGCGCTTCTTTCGTAAGGATGTATTTAGCGAACCTGTTCGAAACCTTCGAATATAGCAAGCGACTATAAATTATTATTGTTGTTATTATATGTTTGAAGAAAAATTGTCTAGGTGATTCGATGAGGCTATCGAATTCGTCTATTAGTAAAAAATAAGATGAATTACGCGCGGTGTAATCGATACGTTATCGATAGTTTGTTAAAAATATCGGATGACGATCGAGGTTCTCGCAAAATGGCAAACCGATCGATAGTGGTTAGGTATCGATAGCGATTTGAATTTTTCTGTCGAATATCTATGTTAAGATTGTTCGATAAGAGAAAAGAGAAAACGATCGAATATACATGTGGACGCGTTTGTTTAGTCGGCAAGGATCCACGGTCGTCGTCGGAACAATAGATGTAAAGTGGAACGACAAAATCGGGGATCGATGGCGCTTTATCGAATAGTTTTCAGCCGGAAATGCATGGAGCTCGTCGCGCGACCAACCTTTCTAGCATCGAATTTAATCGATCGATTCTGTCGCGCGTACAAAACTTTTGTCTACGAGTTACTCTATGTACCCGAGTACATAGATCGGTAGGTATGTCAGGGTGAAAAGTTAACGTCGTTAAAAGATTAAAAGACGAGTCTCAAAAGTTTATCCAGAGGCGGTTAATCGCGATCGCGTATAATTCTTCTAGCATTGTATATGTATTTCATCTCGAACAGCTCTAAATCGGAACCGTATAGATTCTCGAGCGAGCTCTGAAAATCCGACCGCGTCTCGAGTAAACTGTTACGCTATTACGCGGTTGAATATTTGATTTATCCTTTGTAGAAAAGATGTACGTACTTGGAGCGGACATACGTAGCCCTTAGGTCAGGATTCAAGGATGCATCTATCTCCAGCGAATCTGTTCGATTCCTCTGGATCCAGCGGGTCTCGACTCGCTGTTGGACAAACGAACGGCTGTCGAATCGATACGCGACGAGCTTCGTACGTCTATTCGATGCACCGATTCGCGACACATGTGACACGCAGTTGGCCGATCGAACGGATCCCGTACGATCACGGCGGCATCCTGCAGATTACTGAAGTTGACCGAGACGCGAGCGACGTATGGCGCATACACCGTTCGGAGCCGAAGCTCGTCTGCTACCAACCGACTCGTTCGGAGCCGCTGATTGGACCGTCTTTTCGCGGGTCGATTTACCCGTCGAACCGTTTCGCGCATGTCTGCCCTATCAAACTTTTACCCCGATTTCTACTATATTCTTCTTCCTTTCTTTCTTCCCCCCTATACTTTCCTTCTATTAAGTAATTTAACGACGTTCCCCTAATTACTTCCGATAAAAGATCGCTCGATAGGCGAACCATATTTTTCTTTCGATCCCTCGTTCGATCTTTCAAATATGTATATATGAGACTCGCGAACGACTTTGTAAAATTCTAAACTAGGATTTTCAATTTATCGACTTTCAGAATTTCCTGTTTATACATATAGAATTTATACATATATACTGTTTATGCATTCTTTCTTTTCTTCTTGTTGGCCGCTTTTAACGAAACAAAGAGTATGTCGAACGTGGAAAAAGATAACTAATTTTTCTTTCTGTTTCAGAACATTAAACAACGTTCGATTTTACACGAGTGTCGAAAAGCTAGAAGAAATTGCTGGTTTATCGATGATTTGGTATCTAATGGATGGGACATTTTGGTGCAAAACGGACACCATTCAGTCGCATCAACAGGTCGTAGCTACCGTTGTACTCGATTTACCAAACTTTCGTAAAGATTCGTTTTACGAGGCTTACGGCACGATTTCCTACGAAATCGACGAGAAACGATATCAAACACCGACACCCGTCATCCGTCTCGGCATCGACGATACGCTCGATAACAGTTGCGGATTGAAATTTTCCAGTAACTTGGATCGCACGATTCTAGCTTTAAAAAGCGCATCGGTCGAAAGAATCGTTAACGTCCAGATCGAGGGGAACCCTGAAAGGGGAGAACGCCTTTTAGGATTCTTACAAGCGAAATCCTTCAAAGAAATCTCTCCCGACGTTTACGTAGCGAAGGCAACCGGAAGTCTGATGTACTGTTTAATCGAGATACTGCCTATTGTCGAGGGAGAAGCAAGGCTGAGAATTTTTTCAAGGTGAAATCAAATTCTTCTCGACTAGGTAGTCTTTAATCAAATTCCAGAATTCAGATATGAGAACCTGTTCCTCTACGAATTCACAGGTCTCTTCGTCAAATGAACATACTGTTGCGGCTTCTGCGAGATCGATTTCCAGATATAATAGTTCAACACGAAGATAATTCTGTTTATGCAGCGATGGTTCTCTTGGAAGAATTGAAATTACATCTTAAAGATGCGAGCTCCGTCGAACGGCAGATGGCGAGAATAAGAACTGATTTGCTTATCGCGTGAACACGGTTTAACTGGAAATTAAGCTTTCCTTTCAAAATATATATATTTATATATGTACATATATACTAGGTGTAGATTGGACGAATCTATTATGTTAGTATTATTTGCTGAAATAAATTAGTCGGTGCTGAGAATTTGCAGTTACCATTATTTCGTTCCTAGCTCTTGTTCCTAGACAATAATATCAGGATAGCATAGCATAGGTAGTGGCATCGTAACTATTGGGATCGAGTGAAAAACCGGTTTATTCACTACTACTTTTAGAAAGGACTGTTCGCGCACGATCACGCGCAACATTCTCCCTCTCTGCTTATTCGTTTCTCTCCTATAGGAATACTCTACGAGAAGGACTTACGCGCGCTTTTACTCGTCTACATGGAAATAGTGTATGATACGCGTTAATCTTTAGAACATTTCTGCAATGTCGATAATACAGGGAACGACATCAGAATGGTAAACAATTGTTTTCCGAGTCGGCGAAAGCTGTTCGTACAGTTGTTTCGCTTTGCAAAATTTCCCCATAATCGGAGTAAAAATAAAGATAAAAGGTTATGTAGAGTTATCATATAATTTCGAGTTGTTAGATCCAGCGTGCATCGCTAGATGGCCCTGTCTGTACTGTTTTTCGACCGAATTTTATTGATATCGATTTAGTAGACCCTGATATGCGCGAAAACATAAAAATTGTATTATTTCAGCGACGTAGCGCTAAAAGTACCGTTTTCGGACAGCGCGCGCGAAGGTGTAAGTTTTAAAATACGCGGAGGGACGATGCTTGCGAACGAAAGCGATTTTCTAAAGAAGATAACTTGAAATATTCGAAACGACAAGAAAAAACGTTTGCTTAAATAAACTGACAACAGGAGGAACATGCGTGGAAGAGGAATTTTGTAAAGAAACGAGTTCCGTTAGAAGGTGTTGATTGTACATGCATCTTATTTATATTTATATTTATGTTTATGTTAAAGTTTAGGTTGTTATTTAGGTTTTCGAAAGGAGAATATACGGTTGATCCCAGTGACGAGCAGACGAAAAAGATGGAAACAGTCGTGAATTTGTGAAAATTGAAAATTTCTTGATAGAAATCGAGCGATTCGAGTTGGGCAGATTTGAAATAGAATATGTCGCGGGGACGGCTGATCATCACTGGTTTAGCCGGTGGACGTCGAGAAATATTTCATACAAGACGAATGGATGACAGTTAATCGTTCAGAATATATTTACAAGAGCAGTACAAAGAATAACGCGATATTACACGTACATATTTGTTACGTACACTAACAAGTAATTGGTAAGCAGGTGAACAGTTTAATTGTTAATCGAGGCACGTGACAATAAGGCATTTCTACAGAGGAGAAAATACGGTCGTACACGTGTAAGATACAATCCTGTTTCGGTTCCAGTTGGAATCTAACGATTCGCGAAGGATCGGTACGCAAGAAATGCGGAGTTTATTACATTTGAACGCGATGTCGATAATTTGGCGAACGGGGTCCTCCCACAGCGCCTCCCCGTTGCTTGCGAATCTTGCACGTTTACGATCGTATAAATTTACATTAGTGGACGTCACAATGGAAGTTGTGTTAGTACGTCGGTGCAAAAAAATGCGTATCTGTGTTATCGTCGCTTCTCAGCGTGTCTGGTTACACCGATTATACAAATAGTACAGCAGCACATTGTTCTCGAAAAGAGCGTGTGCACGGATACATGGTAGATTAGCAAGTACGAGATCGGAAAACTCGAGGTGGATAATCGACAATTTGGCAATATCAGGGCTCGCGCATATTCGAATCGTCCGATTTTGCCGCGGTGTTCGACGCGGTGCACGAATGGTAGAATCGTAGGATCGTGGAGGGACATTTTTACCGACGAAACGGTTAGAGAAAGAGCGGCAGAATGAAATTTTTAAGAAGAGTTTGGACGCAGCGAACAACCAATATGCGCATCGTTCGCGGGGAAGAGACGATTCGGTGAAGAAAATTTACGGTACTGATAAATGTTACTTAAATTACAACTAATTTCGGCGTGCGCCGATTACATCGTCGTATTTCTCTTCTTATTGTTCGCGGCACACGCCCATGTTCGCATAACTCCGTTAAATCGTAACGTACGCAGAGATTTAGTATTTAGTACGGTACGATTCGATATATCTCGACGTCTTTCTCGACGAAACGAACGAAAGAAACGGCCGTGCAAGTATAGTCGCGGTAAACGTACTTCTAGCCGGGAATTTCACGATAGAGAACCGTATAAAATACTTGACCTTCTTAATCGTTTCTATAGCAACTGTAACTCCACTTTCTACTTTCTTATTATCGTACTATCACGGTACTATCGTACTGTTCGCTAGTTACTTTACAATTACGCTACAATGTTTCCGCTAACTGTACATCGTGTGCCATTATGTACACATACATATATCCCAAAGATTTCTATTGGTTGTACGTGTTTCGATCTCGATATCGTATCCGATAGCGAAGGAACACTCGAATCGAGTTAATACATCGTCCTGCAGGGTATTTTACGTTAACAACGAACCGTTAGAAAAATATGCACTTCCGTTTCTACTACCGATTTGAAGAAACGCTATAAAATAATTGATTAGGAAAGGGCCGATCGTAGCGAGGGAGGATTTACCGTTCGAGATATCGTTTCGAATGACAACGAATCGAGCGATCTCGAAGAGTTCAGCTGATCCGAACATGCTCGGCGATGCTCGAATAAAATACTGCCAAATATAAAAACCAAGTAAAATATATTCTATGGGAAACATCATATATCATTATGCACCGATACACTGAAATATAACCATAATGCGTGTTTACAATGTTTCTCGAGGATGCGTCTATGTATATGCACGTGACCGTATGTCATGTACGTGGGTGTAGTCGAGTTTTACGATGCACACAAATTACACCGTATCAAATAATTGTCGTCGATTAGCATATCGCTGGAACCTCGGTATTCATCATTGTACTGACCGAGCAATGATCGATGATAATATTATTAATAATACAAATAATAGTAGTAACAGTAGTAGTAGTAGTAGTAATAGTTGTAATAGTAGTTGTAGCAGTATTAATAGTAACGGTAGTAGAGTAGTAACAACAACAACAACGATAATAGTAGTATTAATAATAATAATAATAATAATAATAATAATAATAACAATAATAATAATAATAATAGTAAGAAGAAGAAGAATGATAGGATGGATAGTGGTGGTAATGGTTGTGCCGATAAACATTAATTATTATTATTATTATTATTATTATTATTATTATTATAGAATATTGGCAATAATGTAACGTGTAACGACCGAATATTTAGAGCACCAAAGAAACGCGCGTAAATGCGACGATCTTAAATCGGAGAATTTCGAGAAGAAAAAATGTATCGATTTTATAATTTTAGTGGAAAGAAAAAAAGAAAAAAAGGAAAGTGGTATAATTATAGGTAAGTTCTAATTTAAATCGACGATAACCGGTTAGAAATAAATGGTTAACGCATCTTTGTCGGTTAGTTCGTACGAAAGCAAAAGAAAAAGATATACGAATAATTTCGAACGTATACGCGAGAACGTTACGAGATAATAAGATAGAAATAGTATCGTTAAATTGACCGCAGAAAATATTGTTATCCTTTGAAACAAAAGGAGCAGCTGGTTGGTTGACGACCGACGATACCGTTTTATCGCGATCCTATTTACACGGTTTATCAAGTTAGATGTAACTCGTTGAAGCAAGAAAGAGGCATCCCGCGATTCTTTACGACGATCTCGAGGATCAGCACCGATTACTACGAGCCCGCAAACTGTAGGTAAACCGATTTTACAAGGATTGAGAGGAAAGACGAGGGAGAAAGGTAAGAGGTCGAAATTGAGAAGAAGAGGAAACTCGCGGAAATGGCACTAGACGGATTACGAAGAAATATCTCCGCGCGGTCAATACGGATCCGACTATATAAACGGATCCGACTATATAAACGGATCACGACTATAATACCTTATAATAGTTCAGTATCTATAGCGGGTTACGCGTGTACGTGTATGTTATCTATTTAAAAACCTCTGTACACTTTTTCCCTTTTCTATTTTCCTCTTAATTCTTCTTTTTTCCCTCCCTTTCAATGTACCCCGCTCGACGTTCGACGGGCCGCTCTTTAACGATCTAACGTTCTTTTTTCTCTTGCTCTCCATTTATACACACACACATATATATATACGTATTGTATATACAAAGTGTAGTATCAACTTTGTGCATGGAAAATTTCTAAGAATATAAAAAAATATTATTTGTAAAAATCAGTTGTAATATTACACCGATTATTCTATTTCGACCCGTTTGCATCAACGCGCAACACCTTCTATGATAGATACAGCGATCAGTGAATAACGTCGATACCTATACGCTTATGAATATATGCACAATCGAATGCGTTCTAGGATATACCGAATGCGAAAGTTAGCCTTTCCGAAGGGAAAATTACCGAAAACAAATGATAATTTATTGTTGATTCTTTTGTACGATGCAAACGGGTTAATTGATAGATTTTTTTTCTTTATTAAACAGGCTGCGCTAGTTACCGTTACCGCTTCTAATCGCGTCGAGGTAAAAGTGGTAAGAACCGCGAAAAATTCGAATATCCTTCGTATATTCGAGAAACGGTAACGTAGTTAACGATTCGACCTGCGTGCAAAACTTAGTATTAGAAAATAAGACTGAACAGAAGATTTCACCGATTCAATGATTATAATATTGATTTAGAATTTTCAAGGATGCCGCTGTAACGGTAAAACGTAAATGTAAAAAGAAACGATTAGTCGAATATCCGGACTGTCTTACTGCTATACAATTTTCCAAGTAATATTTTTTCCCCGAGTAAGTATTTAAAATGAAAAAAAAAAAAGCGAAACTGTTTAGTTCGATGTACATACACACTCTGTGCTATTCTCGATATACATAGATATATGTATATTGTAGGTATCGCAAAGGACTAACGTTTAACGGTAAGTATATCGATAACGCTACTCGTTATTGATGTTGGCTGCGGTTTCGATGAATCGCGCGAGAAAGAATGCCATCGAGCGAGGTTCACCCTATATCTACATTTATATGTAGGATAATATGTATAC